CCTTGATAGCATCTACAACCAACACTAGTCCGCGACCATCTCAGCAACGTAATCATGGAAGCTATCCACAACAGCCACAAATGCACTACCCTAATGGTGGCAGCTATGCTGACACACCCATGCTTGGCCTTGGTGGCACGACAACGACAACTTCATTCCATCCATTGATTGGAATGCTTGGGGAAATGATTTACGCAAGGATTTTTGGTGACTCAGAAACAACTCTTCATACTTATCCACATTCTTATCGTATGGCTGGTAGTAGTAGTCCAAGGGTGAGAAGGCATGTAATGCAGGCTGACAAGTCACTTGGCAGAGTGTGTTTTTTCCTCTGCTGCTGTGTAGTTCTCTGTCTTCTCTTATTCTAATAACCCTTTTATTCTTCTGCCTTCCCATTGTAAAAATTATCAAAACAAGCATAGAACCAATGCGCTCGACTCAGCCCGATATAATAGATGATAAGAGCTTATTCATCTATAGTGTTTTATGCATATATGATTATGATTCTTTTTTTGAGCTTATAGGAGAGGTCAAATTCTGCGCTCTTCTAATTGCTTAGATGGGTAAGCTACCTTGGACAAACCAATGCCACCAGAAACAAGTGCCTACAGGACATGCCATTGAAATAGATAAGTTTGATGGATGGTTTTGATGGGTAAATAGGCCATGTTTAGGGATAGCAGTGGGCCAGAAAATGGGGATTCGTCCAAATTTACTCTATTTTGGATCGGAAATAAATCATACGTATTGAATGGTGGACGTATATAAGAATATATGTATAAACCCGTGCGGTTGTGGAGGCAGGAATAGATTGAAACTTACCCCCACTCCGGCTTGCCCCACTTAACTCGTTAGTTATATATATATAAATAATCCCAAGGACTCGGCCTTAATTCAGATGCCACTGCCTTCCCTCACTCTCTTTCGCTGACCAGGTAACGCCCTTCCCTTCTCTCTCTCTCTCTCTAAGAGAATACAATCCTCTTCCAACTAGTACAATTGGGCAACAAATCATTAATAGCAAGTGAAATGATTTTGGATTTTAGAACAACTCAGACTGAACATTTTCTTTGAGACAGAAGAAGGGGCATGGGCAAGAAGTTAAAATTTTGAAAAGCCCTGTGAGAGATTGAACTCTAGTATTGTAAGATCATGACACCATGAAAGAAAGTAGCTTTCAACGATTCAAGTCTATGAAATACAGAAGACATGATATATAGAATTACAGAAGGTACAGAACGATAGGAAACAGAAGTTTAACAATGCAAAGCTGTGATTGGACGTGTCTTCATGCATCGTCCAGCCTCATACGTCACTGTAGCAAAGACAAGCTACATAAAGCAATCCTAACCTTGGTAGTTCAATATCTCAACCTTGTTATGGGCAAGGCGGGGATTAGAATTTCACTGCAGCGTTGAAATAGCAATTAAAATTAGCTCGTTAAAGGAAGAGGATCGGATATGAACAAACTTTTTTTAAGCGGAATAGGAATGGATACTACTCCTCCTCTCCTGTTTTGGTCCACTGTCATTCCTGGCCATGTTCCTCACCAACTCATTGATGTGTGGTCATCAGGTGTATACTTCCAAGAACTTGGTTTGGATTTTTGGAAGTATAGGGTAGGAGAGAGAGTGAGGAGTTATCCATAATGAATAAAGTGGTCAATTCACAAAACTGTACCGTTTTGTTTCATTTCTAGAATGACCAAAATTCAAGCAAGCATGTCAGAGGGTTGGATAAGTTCGCATCTCATGGACATGGACCCTCTCTAAATCGAGCAATCATTATTGCTTTGTCATAGAGCATTTTTCATATGGTTGTCCTCTCTCTCTCTCGTGGCANAGTATGAGGCATTATAATTGATGAAGGATTTAGTCTCTGAATCTTATTAATTGATAATCTATTTTCTGAAAATTATATAGAACTCTATTTTTCTGTTTCCTAAGATGTATTCTACATTGTCCCATGGATCTCTTACAACTTGATATGTTTTCTTTTTGAAACCTCACATTATAGGTTCATAATTGAATTGAATGATATGGCATATATTGAATTAGATTGGGTCAACAGCTTTTTCCCTAACAATAGACCAGGAAGAAGAAAAGTAGTGTCTACTGTTCCTCAGTTGAGTATAAACACCTTCTCTGTTAGAAAAAGACATACCAATTAAGAGTTAAGTATTTGTCTTTTTCTGGAGTTCCATATCAGTTTTGTTCCATTTAGGTCGAGATATTTTTCATTACGAAATTGTTCTTGGTTTGATTGCTCGATAAGAGTAGATGATGGCAAGAAGATGTTAGCCTTCCAGTTAGGATGTTTCATGCAGTGATAGAGCCAGATTGTGGAGAAAATATTCAATGTAATGGTGACACCACATTATAACCACACGAGCTGTTACCATTAGATAAAAAAAACAAGTGAGCTAGTAGATCCTATACAATTCCGTAACTACCCATACATGTAATATTATAACTAGCCCATGTAAAGAAGTTAAGTTCACTTTATTCATTGTTTCTTATTGGATGGTGACCACATGGCGTTAATGACATGATGGAACTCTGTTGAATATTTACTTCAGATTGAGACCAAGGGTCTAGACCACAGGGAGGCCATGCACTCTTTTGACGCTTTACATTTAATGCTAAATTTTTAAAAGCATTGGAGTGCTCTTCTCTTCCTCCAACATAGTATGTGTTCTAGAAGTATCTTGGTAGGTCTTCTCAGTTAATGCTTACGACTTAGATGTCCACTGGACGAGGGGTAACTGGTTAGCATAGAGAAGAAATCCATCATTAGGTGTCCCACCTATTAAAATCAGAAATAGTAGATAGGTAGATAGGGCATTTGAGAAGATAAGGTTATAGTGGAAGTTTTTCTAAATTTGGTTAGATGCTTTTGTCGTTGAATTTATTTCTAACCAAATTTTCTACCTACCAAACTGCATTTCTTTCTTGTTTCATATTTGTACAAAATGGAGAGGATTGGTTGATCTGCTGTTAGGACTTCATACCTATACGCAAATCATTCCTTGTTAACACTGTCCGTCACATCTTGGTAATCGGTTTGAGCAATGTTATTGGGACCTAATTTACTGACATCATTTGCTGACCTAATTCACTGTGACTTTTAAATTGACTATAGGTTCCATCAAACATTGGAACTAGGTGTTGATCTAATGATTTCTATGGAATCACATCATTATGTCAGTAAATTAGGTCAGATTTTTAAGTCAAAATAGGATTTTACTCAATCGGTTTTGCTTGAAGCATTGAAGCATTGAAGCATTGATCGATAATCTAAATTTTTAGTTTAGTGTTTTTACGTCATATTTCTTACCAGATCGGGCATCAGTATACTGTAGAAACCAAGATTTAGCAATCAAATAATTGATAATCTGCAGATTTCTGATGAATACTGGAAAAATATTTGAGAAATGAAGGTATTGGATAGTTATTTGATCAGCTTGTCTGATTATGTTGTTGTCTAAGATACTTTTTATGGTAAATCGGTTGAAATTCCTAATTGATGGACCATAACTTTGAGGGTTACCAATTTACTAGTGACATATGGATTCGAGATTAAAGACTTCACCTAAAAATTCTTCAGTAGGCAAGCTCTGAACCGAAAAGAATCCTGTGTCTTGTTACACTGAACCTCTGCAAACTGTACCATTTGAATATTCTTTTCTCTAGTATAGCAGTCAAATAAGTGAAGTTTTCTTCGTTAACTGTGCTTCTGAGCTCTGTACAAAAGTTTAGGCTCCTAACCGTTTTTCTTTCTGACGTATGTACTTCAGGCATTGACAACCAAGATAAACTCTCTTTAAGAAACAGACCAAAAATGGCCATGGAGCAATACATTCCAGAACCTCTGACACACTACGACTCCAACATAGAAGAGGATACTTCCATAGCAAAGTGGAAATCTTTCTCAGCCGCTGTTGATGAGTGTGAAAATACTCAATTCGGTGGTTTTGACTGCAACATCTGCCTAGACTTTGTGCAGGACCCTGTAGTGACACTCTGTGGTCACCTTTACTGCTGGCCTTGCATTTACAAGTGGATTCATTTCCAGAGCATCTCCGATGAAAACCAAAGCCAGCAACAGCTGCAGTGCCCTGTATGCAAGGCTGAAATTTCAGAAAAAACATTAGTTCCTCTCTATGGCCGCGGCCAAACTACAAAACCCTCCGACAGCAAGGTTCTGCATCTCGGTATAGTTATACCAAGGAGGCCACCCAGTCCTAGGTGCGGACCACACTCCTTGATAGCATCTACAACCAACACTAGTCCGCGACCATCTCAGCAACGTAATCATGGAAGCTATCCACAACAGCCACAAATGCACTACCCTAATGGTGGCAGCTATGCTGACACACCCATGCTTGGCCTTGGTGGCACGACAACGACAACTTCATTCCATCCATTGATTGGAATGCTTGGGGAAATGATTTACGCAAGGATTTTTGGTGACTCAGAAACAACTCTTCATACTTATCCACATTCTTATCGTATGGCTGGTAGTAGTAGTCCAAGGGTGAGAAGGCATGTAATGCAGGCTGACAAGTCACTTGGCAGAGTGTGTTTTTTCCTCTGCTGCTGTGTAGTTCTTTGTCTTCTCTTATTCTAATAACCCTTTTATTCTTCTGCCTTCCCATTGTAAAAATTATCAAAACAAGCATATAACCAATGCGTTCGACTCAGCCCGATATAATAGATGATAAGAGCTTATNCATTGATGTGTGGTCATCAGGTGTATACTTCCAAGAACTTGGTTTGGATTTTTGGAAGTATAGGGTAGGAGAGAGAGTGAGGAGTTATCCATAATGAATAAAGTGGTCAATTCACAAAACTGTACCGTTTTGTTTCATTTCTAGAATGACCAAAATTCAAGCAAGCATGTCAGAGGGTTGGATAAGTTCGCATCTCATGGACATGGACCCTCTCTAAATCGAGCAATCATTATTGCTTTGTCATAGAGCATTTTTCATATGGTTGTCCTCTCTCTCTCTCGTGGCATATTGGTGTTGATGGTGGTGTTCACAGCGGCAGTGGACAAATATGGCTGCGACTGTGGAAGGTGGTTGATGATATTCTTTCAAGAAGAGAAGAGTCATCCTGCTTGGTTTTATTCTTCAGATAAGGCTACGTAATGAAATTTGATTTAGAATTATAGATTTTATTTTGACTATTTTTTATAAAAAAAATAATAAAGTAACAAGAAGTTAAAAAAACTAAGAAAACTTTGCACTTGTTCTGTTTTTACTTGATGAAAATTGAAAATATAATACCAAAAAGATAATTTTTTAATAGCGTAGTTCAACCCGCACTCATGTCTTTCTATTGCTTTTGACATCTCCAGCTAATGCAAGTGGGAAGTGGCCAAAAGGGGTCACTCCTTACTTTCTTTGTCCCAGAGTTGTGGCCCTCTCTCACTCTCACATCTATCTGTTTTGTTTTTCAGTTTAACGGTTAGAAATATTTGAATAAGTTTATAGGCATTTCGATTAATTTTTTATTTAATTCAATCAAAAGTAGGTCATCCACATTAGAATTAAGGAATTCATAAAAGATAAATCCCATAAGTCTGATCCCAAAAAATTGTTAAAATTTGAATTCAAAATATTTGAATTTACAACTCATCTTTGCTATTATTTGAGATAGCCCTTGGATCACTAGCAATTTACAGCTCTCATGTATTTTTTTTCTTATTGCCACTTAGATCGGGAATGGACCATACATATTGGACGATAAACGTATATGGAGATATATGTATACACTCATATGGAGATGGAGGCGGGGATGAACTGAACCCTCTCCGATTCTCTAAATCAATAATATATATATAACAAATAAAATAATTAAGTGAAACACAATTTGTTATACATATTATTTTTATGAGTTTTTTTGTTTAATCCATTTGTTATGTAATGAGCTTTCATCCTTCTTATAAATTTACTAGTCATTGCCTATGTCTGAAGGCACTATGTTACTTATAAAATTTCAACACACAAAGATAGAATGTTTAAATAATTTCAACACATAGCAATTAGATTGGTTTTGAACATTTTTTGGCAATTGGTATCTTATTTTTTTTGTATTGGTCACTTATTTTTTTTTAATTGCTGATTAACTTGGGCTTTGAATTTTTTTTTAATTTTTTGAGAACTATAGGTTTTTATACAATAGTGATTTATTTTTGGTATGAATAATAACTTGATGATTTTATTTATGAATTATAAAGACAATTTAAACTTCATTAATTGATAAGAAGTAAAAACTAAATATCAACCATCGGTACTAAGATGCGTGATAAGAAGATCTACTTACAGTATACTCTAGGTATGAATCAGTTTGTAATAAGAAGGATAAAAAATTATACAGTAAGTATATAATAATTTTTAATGAAATATTATACCCAAGGTTTTGAAAAAATCGATATACTAAATAATTTGCATGTCCAAAAATGATGACATTGTCCATTTGGGTACTGATTTTTGTGTTATAATGACGGTGTATATACAATTATTGGGTCAAATGTTAAACTGTCAAATTTTGAAAAAGAAGCATTAAACTTAAAGATATTATGTATTTTATGTGTGTTTAATATAAATATTTTTAATTTTATGTAAAATTTTATCGTAAAATTAAAAAATAAACAAAACCAACTTAAATCAAAGTATAAACAATACACTTTTAACATATAACATTTAGATTATTTAATTTAAAATGAATTCAATNTATCATCATTTTAGCCCTTGTTTTAAGTCAGATCTACCCGTTGTGCTACAAACGCCATTTTGGCCCTTGTTTTACTTCTACGGTCGATTACAACTGGATTTTTTTAGGGAGAAATTAGAAAAAGTAAACTAAACTAGATTTAATTGTAAAAAAATATAGGATTAAAAAGTCTTTAATTCTAATACTTATTTATTTTCAAGTATATTATTTAAAATTTCTATATTTTATTCTGATCTTTATATCCTCCTTTGATCAATGCGTATTTTTTTTTGGAAAGTGGTACATTAAACATCTCATAGTTTTATGGGAGAACTTTAATATTCTGTATTTTTATGTCCTCTCTTGATTCATACGTATCTTTTTTTGAAAAGTGATTTTGTTTTCAAATTATATTTAATGCATCTTGATTAATGTGTATTTTTTTTGGAAAAATGGTTTTGTTTTTAAATTATATTAATATTTGAACTCTATAACAATGTAATAATAACAGTGTAACAAAATATTTACACAAAATATTATACTATTACATTTTATCAAACATATATTTTCATATAATTTAATTCAAAATAGTTCATATCTGTTTTGAATTTGTTACCACATGCACAAAATCACTGAACATTGTTTTTATTACAGTGTATTGTTACACTATTATGGAGTTCGGATATTAATAAATTTTGAAATTCAAACAAAGTGATATATTCTAAAATAAACGGAATATTAAAGTTCTTCCATAAAGAGATATTTAATGCGTAAATATAATTTGAAAACAAAACCACTTTTCAAAAAAAAAAATATGCATGAATCAAGGTGCATTAGAGATTTCAAATTAAATGACCATAAATTTCGGCGCTTAAGATCAATGCCTTATTACAATTTTTAGGAAAGAAAATTTTATAAAATTGGCATTTATATCTTTTATATCTCAATTGTGTACTTTTTTTTTAAAACATGTTATTCTGTGTACGTTTTTACAATTATGTCTAATTTGATATACCGGCTTTCAAATGACCCTTTTTTTAGAGGGATTTGGAGGTTGGTTCCTAGGTCCAATAAAATTTCAAAAAAAAATCACTTGCTAATTTTTTTGGATTAGGTCCCTGTTAAAAAGTTAAAACAATAGACATAATTAACACCCTTTAAAAATTGCAAAAATAAAGAAAATATTATCACCTAATTAAAACACATATTCTAAAAAGTTATAACATGTACACTAAAACACAAATTATCAGACAGGTACACTAAAACATAGATCATCAGACAAGTACACTAAAACACATATTATTAATGTACATTATTCTCCATAAACATAGATCGTTAGACTGATACACTAAAATATAGATCGTCAGATGTCATCATAATGTATGTAGCTTTTTCCTTCATACACACATATCGTTAAAAAATCTTATATAAGTTTAAATATGCATTAATATATCTTACTATGAATCACCTGATACTGTTGTACGATACTCAAACAATATTAAATTTAAGAATTGATTAGATGACATAGTTTATGTGTTCATGCATATGCATTTTCTGCTTGGACATAATAGAATTCGATGTATGACGCCGCAGTGATGATCGAAATTCAGACTACGGGCACTTGCAGCTTCTTGTGCAATAGACAAACTCATCTTCTTATTTATAGAGGTCTTGTATCTCTCAGATGTACACCACCCAGAGAAATACCTCTATACAGTTTTTATAAATATACAAATGTTGGTCCCTATTTTTCTTGTCGGTAGACATATGTATCTCTATATCTTCTGGATTTTGAGGTATCAATTTTATCTGAGTTTTTAGATCTTTGCTGCAATAACTTCGATGAATTTGATATTAGATTGTTAGGCTAAAAATGTGTGATGAGAACAAAATGAATAATGAAAACACAGTAATTGTCCTCAACCCTTTACTGATTTTTCACCAACACATGGACTGACATGTAAGTTTTTTCAATATACAAAAGACTTTTTTTAATACTAAAAATCCAATAGAACTAAAGTTAGTTTACGCACCAAATGAGGGACTCTAGCCGAATTTACTATTTTTTTTTTCTATAAGGGGTTAAGCATATTTAAGTAGCAGTGACAATCAAGTCATGTCTCTTGTATTCAGNCTATTTTTTTTTTCTATAAGGGGTTAAGCATATTTAAGTAGCAGTGACAATCAAGTCATGTCTCTTGTATTCAGCCCATATCATATCGAGTTTTTATTGAGTTTTTACCAAGCTATAATATTAAGTATCCGTAGCTAGGGGAAAAACAAGAAAAATAAGTCAACCTTAATCTTAACAATTTAATTAAAAATGTCAAATGTCTTGACTGTAACCCGACATATTTATTAATCGTGTCATGCTTGGGTTAAGATGTATAACACCTAAACAAAAAAAAATCTAGGTCTATGATTCCTTTTTCTCTCAATTAAACCCCACACTAGTTTATAGGTGTTCCATAAATTAAAAACACTTTATGATAGGAATTGAAACAAAAAATCCTCTAACATCATATTTGGTGAGGAAGGAAAATAAGAAAGATAAAAAAAATTAAATTGATTAACTTTTCTTCTAACTCACTAAAATCAATCCCTCCAAATTTGAAAGAAAAATGAATAGACAATTAATTATGTGTGTTAAAATGTATATTATTTACCTATATGTCGTTTAATATATGTATATATCATATTTATTTATTATATATTATGTACACGTTAATTTTATATATAGATATAATGATAAAAAAATATATCAATACTTGTTCTATTATTTGACTTTTTTATCCACCCTACCAAACACACCATAAGGCTCCACAAATATAATAAATGAAATGCCTAATTAAAAAACTAAAAGAAACTAAATAAAAAAAAACAGATATTTTTTTCATACAATAGGAATTA